AAGGGTACAGATCCTTTGTTACTCACAACTGCGTTTCATTACTGACCATCTGCAAATCATAATCAGTTACATACATACATACAATAACGGCATATACGTTTAACGTTGCCGTACTTCGTTCCTTAACGAAACCCGTAATTTCTTTGTTGTCCGATTGAGTAACTGAGGACATTTTGAAACCTACTTTATTACATGCTTACCCATGATAAGTGATTCGGTTCTTTGGTATCTACTCAATCTGTATGACGAAGCTGCAATGATGGATCTATGGAGAGCAGACCTATAGTTCAATCCATAAAACCAAAGTAGAAACAACTAGCCGAAGAAGTCTGACAGCCCGTTATCGAATATACAATACAAACAACTCTTGAAATGAAGACTTAATTCATCCCATAAAACTAAACGTAAGAGTAAAATTCGTCAATGGAAGAAGAAACTGTTTGGCAGGGGCAGGAAGGGGGGTAGTGGCACAAGGGCAAAAGGTCGACTTTGAACTCCGCAGGTATCGAAGACCCTCGAGGGAAAATCTTTGTCCTTACCGCGAATTTCCTTCAGTAAGAAATTCACATCACACTGCCTCGGCGCAAGCAGTCGATGAACGGGTAGTAAGCCGTTTACTTGAAAACACCAAGCACAGCATGGTATGGTATTCTGGTGTAATCATACCAGAGTGGACGAGATATTCAACCATCCTATACGATACGAACACCCGCTGTGGCTGTACTTCGCCTTAACCCACCTCATATTTACTATCCACTGCATACCGCGTAACCGCCGATTTTTTTCTCTTTTCTTTTTTGCAAACCCATCTATTCACAAAAAAACTACTAGATATTTCTTTCAGATATTAGAATACTACACATCATAAAAAATAAAAAGTGCACTACTTTTTGATAAGTCACGACTCATTTAATCATGTAAAACGCTTATATCGCACAATAGTCTTTAATGACCGCGTAAGCATCACAAATTTTTAAAACAAAGAATAAACGTTGGTATCTTTATCAGAATCTCAATTACAGCCATATAATAATCATAACGAATCACTGATAAGAAATTCTACTTTCTTTAATTAATCTTAAAACTAATGTTTTAATGAAAGCTAAAGCTGGGAACATTTACAAACGCACGTTGACATCGAAAGACAAGGTAAACTGAGACAGTGGTTGGGGTTGACAATGAGTCCGTCATAATAGACAGTGGCGAAGCATATGATGTCGACGAGACTTCAGTGAGATCATCTTCCATACGATGTTAATGGAAGCCAGATCTGCAACAATTTCAACTTGCTAAACTTTACTTCTGCCTTCAACCTTGTCAGGTACAAAGTTGAGAATCAGCTGACGATTTTGAAGAGTCATAAAACAACGTAAATTATTACTACGTGTTCCTTTTTGATATCATCGAATAACTATGGATTTGTTGCCTGCATGTTGAATTTCGTCACTAGTTTTGGACATCGCCTTTAGCCTCCTTTTCTGAAAATCTTTCTGTATCCCACGAAATAAACTCTTACTTAGTCAATTATTCAGTGACAGTAAAAGCTCTTGAACATCAACTATCAACTTTAGTGAATCCGGCTTCAGTTGCCCGTGTACAATAGTTCTTTGTTGCACTCAACAGCGATTTAATAACATAAGGATCGAACAAATATTCCGTCGTCAAATATATCCAGCACACCGAGGTAACTCCTGTTATGGAGTTCGTTATTGTCAATGGGCCTATGAGTTTCCAGGATTGGACCATTTCTTTCTGATGACGTGCAGATGGTCAATCAGGCGAAAATAGATTTTTCCTGGCCATGTACCGTGCGCGAATCAGAGGTGCAACAACGCTAGTGGTTGTTACCCGCGCGACCTTTCAGCAAATCAAAATTAAGATTAAAGAGATTATAGATTAAAGAGGCCGCCACACTGAATGTTCTTTCATGTTACCATCCAAACCACTGTGGCCTTGAACATATTTCGGCAACAGTTTTTCAACACAGTTAATGGTAATCTGAAAATGTTTTTACACGCATTTGTGATATTTTCTCCATCTACCTGGCCATCGTTCTTTTTGCGCAATTAATTAATGCTTGGACGACAGCTCGTCAATCAAATGTTTGTAAAATGAATGATCAAAATCAACTGTCTACACTCACATAAGTTCAAACCAAACACATTACACACTTTACACAAAATATAAAAAATATATATGCTTTAAATACTAAAAATAAACTTAAAATAACGTGAATGCGTATAGAAAAAGAAAAAACCGATCAACATGAAACAAAAAAAACAAAGCCAAAGCATAGTGTTTACCATTTTTATTGTAATAGAGAGCAATCGCGCTGGATTTCATCGTAATACCGCGTTCTTGCTCTTCAAGTTCGCTATCCAGGTATCTGAGCTTTCCGGCCATCCGCTCAGAGATGATGCCGTTAGCGGCAACCAGCGAATCCGCCAACGTAGTCTTGCCGTGATCGACATGCGCCAAGATGCACACATTTCGCACCTGCTGAGGATACTCCTGGATGCTTGTTAGTTTCTCAATGGGAATGAATCGCATTTGCAGCTGAAACCAAACATCAGAAGTTTAGCATAAACTAACAGATG